ATTCTGAAAGAAGAATGCCTTGGTAGACTTCAACTATATTCCAAATGAAGAATGGCAACCTAACAGGGATTGAACTCAGGACCTTGTGCTTGCCAGGGAAGCACTTATTCCACTGAGCTATCTCCCCAGCCCCAGCAACCTAAATTTTATTTATTTATTTTGTGTGTGTGTGGCCAGCTCAGCCCACCAGGGGGCGGGGCTGGCTGGCATGTGGTGCTGGGGGATTGAACTGTGGTCCCTGTGCTTTGCTTAGCTTAGCTTGTTCTAAGTAGGTGCTTTAGACCACTGAGCCATCTCACCAATCCCCCATCACTCCTATTTTCAACAAGCAAAAACACATGAGATGTACAAAAGGATGTTTAAGGTACAAGTATGCTCATTAATGCAGTTAGCTCTGTCACTTTATGAAAGACGTCTTTTGTAAGGTTTGGTACTGAGGGGAAGAGGGCAGGGACATAACTGAGTAACTGAGTAGTATTGTACCCACCTAGCATACTTGAGCCTCTGGGTTCAATTGCTAACACTGACAAAAAGAAGAAAAAGGAGGAGGAGGAAGAAGAGAAAGAGGAGGAGGAGGATGGGGAGGGGAAAGAGGTGGAGGGAGGGATAAAAAGGAATAAAGAAATGGACCTCATATAATTTGAAAAAAAAAAACATGTTTCTTATTTACTATAATCCTAGAACTCAGGAGACTGAGGGAGGAAGAGGTTAGTTTAGTTTACTGCTATTTCAGGATACATAGCAGATACAAGCTCACCCTGAACTACAAACAAAACAAAAGAGTAGGAAGGACTAGTTAGGCATTTAAAACATCCTGTTAGGTGCTGCCTCTCATGCCACGTTCCCCTTTTCGTTGCGTTGCCGCGATGTGTCAAGAGAAGGACCTAGGAAACAAGGCCGCTCTAAACTTCTCCAAGGTTTACAAGGAGGCTAAAACAGGAAAAGTGTATTTGTTGTCAGCGCTTAGGGTATCAATTTTAAATACACAGATTTTCCTGCTTTATAAAAATGATTGTGATAATTGTTCTGTCTTGTAGTGTCTATTATCTTCTGTCTTTAGTACTTAACAGTTTGGGCTCATGTGTGTATGTGTGTGCGTGCTTGCGCTCGCGCGTGTGTGTGTTTACTATCTCATCCACCTTCTTGGTAACACAAACAGTAACGCATAGTAGCAACTCAGAAGCTACCTTTTGCTTGTATGTGGTACACACAGTGTCTATGTTTTCATTCAACTGACACTCACTGACTGCTTGCAATGTGCCACCTATTCTGTAAGCTTCCCTCCAAATAGTGGACCTCCACAAAGGGCCATCAGTCAGTTACATGTTTTGTGTAAGAAGAATAATGACTTAAGGTCTTACTCCCTTCCTTATGACTGCTTACACCATGAACTTCAGTTCACTTATGAAGCCCTTGTCTCTAACAGGTACAATGACCCTATTTTTTTTTAAATGTAGTTGGTTTTTATAGGGTCTCACTATGCAGCTGGGACTCATAGTGATCCTCCTGTTTTTAGCCTCTCCAGTGCAGGGATGACAGGCATGTACTACTACACCTGGACTCTGGCTGGCTGAGCCTGCTCTGGGGGTGGGGCTGGCACAACCTGTGATACTGAGGATCAAATCATGGTCTGTACACTTGCTTAAGCTTGCCTAAACAGGAGCTTTAGTCTGCTGAGCTATCTCACCAGCCCCCAAATGACCCTAGTTTTAAGTAAGCAATATCTATACATATTTGACATCATCCTAAAATGCACAAAGCATTCTATAAAATAGTGACAAATTCTCTTCTCACTGCTAATATTTACATAATACCAATATGTCACAGTGCGTCTGTCTAAATGTTTGTTCCCCAAATTCTCAAAAATGTGTCAGGTGATCTCATTTTGCCAAAAAATATGATTTCAGCATAGGCTGAATAATTCATTATTTTCTGGAAATTGTTTTTGGTGGAGAAACATAAGCTGAGATTTTATTGGCTAATTATGATCTCTCCTGTGCATAGTACATGATTATAAAGTCACTGCAGGGAGAAGGAGCCCAGGAAGGGCTCTAAAGAACAACATGTATTTTCCTGGAAACTTTGTTCTTTCACGTTCCTGCACATTTGCAGTGTAAGCCATGTCAGACACCAGCAAAATGGCTCTAATCTAGTCATTATAGCTGATGAGGAGGAGAGTACCCCAGTGGCTTAGAAGAATAAAGGAAATCAAATCCAGATAAGGAGATATACTAAACAAGTTCTCTGTCAAGTTGCTTTACAGTCAGCTCACAAATAGATTTCCTGTTGGCATGTCTAAGAGATGCAAAATTTAAAGTGTGACTAGTACCACCTCACTGGAGGTGGATAAAGGCAACAGAAAACAAGCAACTTGATTCTATCAGCACAACATCAAAACAAAAATACTACGTGAATGAATGCGTGTTGAGATCTAGCTTTCTTATACTGCTGTATTTTTACATCAGACATATGAGAAATATTTAAATATACAGCTAAACTTTATAGATGATTGTCTTAGAAAGAGAAAGTAATCTCACACAAAAAGCAAAAGAAAAGAAATTTGGTTTGGTTGATTTTAGTAATAGCCAATAGGCTGCTACAGTGAGTTGGAAGGACAGCCCCGTGGATCTGGGAGTGAGACACTCAGTTTTCATTAATGTGCCCGTCCTGTAACTGTCCCATAAGCACGTCCCATGACTCCACACTCGAGCATCTTGGCTGCAAGAGGATGCGGCCATTAGAAGGAGGCTCTCGACATGCTGAGCTCCAGCCGTGCTGAGACACTTGGCACCTTCACGTGCAACTTCCTAATACCAACCCCGGCATAAAATGTCATCAGAAGCTTGCATAAACATTGGACTTAGATTCACATAAATTATTTCTGTCCTGAGGTGCTGAATGCCAGAATTTAGTAAAAACAACACTTTGAGTAAATAGAATTGGCGTATAAATGTAAGAATATGAATCCAACAAAATGATCATAGAAAAATATAATCAAAAGTACACACTTGTAAATCTTGCAATGATGTGAAACGTTTATTTTGTGCTTCTGAATTTTTATTGGACATTTCCAAAGAGTTCCTTTGAGCTGACATTGCCAAAGTGCTCTGAATTATCAGTTGCCTTGCAGAATTGTCATCTTTGAGTTTCATTAAAATGCTCAGGAATTATTTTAATAATCATAAGTGTGATTAGTGCCTGTTTAGTGCAGAATCTACAAATTCATTTTAAGAGTAAACAATGCAACAATGAAATATAATGCCAGAATGATTGCCCCATCAGCAAAAACATTGTCTTATTTCATTAAAAATAACCAACAAAATTTCTTGAACAAAAGATCCAGTTTCTATTTACAGACATTTTCAACTCTACAGTACTTGGTATCTGCACACTGCAAGCCTGCATGTAGCAGAGTTTTTCCTTTTGCCTAGTGTAAATTCACAAACCGAGGGGTATAGGGCTCCTCTTCATAGGTGAACTCTATATGTGAACACATCCTACTACACACAGCTTCTCCTCATATCCTATTTAGATTTTTTGCTCTAATAGAACAATACTCACACCGACAGTACTGAGTATGTATGAGTGAATCAAGATTCCTGGGGAATAATGATAATTTAGCTCTTGGAAATAATAACATTGTAATATTCTCAGTGATCCATTTTTACTGTAAGTACATATTAAATAATATTTATTCCTAAAACATGTACTTCAAAAATTAAATGAAATTAAAATACACAATAAAAACACATTTCTCTCTGAATTCCAATTCCTCCGTTCCTCACAGGCACCTCACCTCATGTTTATTCTACATTTGCTCTATTCCGCTATTTCTCAGTACCTTCAGCTCTGCTCTCTGATCTGTTCATCTGCTTTCCCCAAAGCCACTGCCTTTATCCACACTCCCTACCCACTCTTCCCCCTCTTGTTATTCTCTCATTCCTGACTGATATGGGAATAATAGGATCCCAAGGCTGTCCTTACAGTATAATTAAAGTATGAATTTCCAGGAGTTAGAAATTGCAGAACATTTTTATTATGCTTCCATAATAAAGGCAGGTAACACTGAGAGAATTTAAATGGCTTTTCCTAGCAGATTACTTGGTAAATATTTTTTCCCTTTGGTTCTATTGTTTTAAGAAAGTAGCAGGTTGAAATGAGAATAGGTTCACCAATTCTTTTTGTTGCAAACACCTCTATCTTTTGTGTGATATATAGTCCCCTAGATCCTGGGAATATGTTATAAACTTGTAACAGATGGTGATGAAGCTTCACATTTTTATACAATACATTTTTAAAGATTCTAAATCTACTATGTGCATCTTCCAGGAAAAATGACCTTGAACGAATGAAGTCATAGTTTGAAGGAGAAACGGCCCACCGATAGACTAGCATAGAAAGGATGAGTCAACTGGCTTTGTTTTGTTCTGTTCTGCATGATGAAATAATTTCATATGAAAACCAGAATGCTGAAAGAGGAATCGAAGGTCAACTTAACAGCGGAGGTGTACCTGTGAAGTGTTCCAGGAAAACTAGTAAACTGTACTCTGCATGGAAGAGAAACATGTGGAAGACGGGGCATCGCTTTCTGCAAGGAAAAATGTTATTTGCTTCACTTGGGTAATGTTGGGGGCTTACCAAAAATTGTTCTGGCACTATATCTACCAGCATGAATGTTAGGAGGGTTCTAACACTGTGAGTGCTGATATTTTATGAATGTTTTATCACTGGCTTGGAAACAAGAAGTTTGCAATTGAATCAACAGTATGTCAGACAGACAAAATATTAAAAAAAAGAACATTAGTGAGAATTACTAATGTCCCTATTGTAAAAACAAACTGAAGTTAATAAGCAACTTGATCCTCTTAACCGATTAACAAAAGTGAAGTTTTAATTGCACGGCTTCCCAGACAAGCAGAGAGGCGTTGCTAACTTGAGCATCAACTGGTTGTTCAGAAGGTACAGCCCTGAGAGGGCCTGATGCATATTCAGCTACCCACCTCGCTTTTCGACAGCTTCAATGCATTGCCTTACAAACCATGGAACTGTGGAATTTTCACGTTCACACACTGTGTGCAGATGAGAGCCAAAAATTTGATCTGCAAAAGAAACAAAGATGAGCTTCATTAAAATCCAAGCTTGCGTTGTTCTTTAATTTGATTCTGTTTCCGTATCTAGTGCGTGCTGAAATCTTCATTTTGCATAGGAATTGATTTTTTGCTTTAATTTCAAAGTCTCTGTGGCAGACACACAAGGATCACAACTTCTTTCTGTATGGAACAGGACCCTGGCCCTGGAGTAAGAAAGCTGACACCCCGCCATCGATCACGCAGAGATGATTGAGTAAGTTATAGTCTCTTTGGGCCTTAACTTTGTTATCCATAAAATAATGACAAGGAATTAAAGCAATTTCCACAAAACAATTAATCTCAGTCTTTTGTGTCCAACATGTTTTAGAAGCTTCTCAGTGGTCATCAAGATTATAATTTTATAAGTATATTTAGGACATTAATTCTACAGCTCAATGGCATTTGAAGAGGCCACTTGCAAGGGAGGTACTCAGCAATTAATTATTTGACCTCCTTCTTGCTTTGGCTGCTCTTTCTTGCCTTTAGTCTATGCATCACTTTGCCTTTAACCTCGGCTTGCACCCACTTTATCCACCAACTTTCCCCTGAGATCTCATCTTTTTGTCTCCTGTAGCCTCAGTTCTGCAGGACACCAGCACGTAAGCATAGTATGTGTCATGCAGGAAAAGGGTCATAGGATGAATGGCTTAGCAACAGCAGATTAAACACAGGTAAATACGTTTCCTTAAAGTCTTGCTGTTGTTACGTCTGTGTTGCAGCCTGGGCTGTGCCAGATTTTATTCTCAAATAATTTACATAACATTCTTTTTTCTTTTCCTCAGAGAACATCTCCCTGGACTAACATATCCAAGAACACATGATGCGAGATCCTGGCTTACCTTTCTTATTTGGAACATGATTTATGCTACTTTTTGTTGTGTGTCTACATCTATGGTATATGGAATATATTCTTCTGGGACAGATTCTGAGTGCCTATGTTGTCTCTGTGTTTTCACAGTTACTGGCACTAAGTGCTCATTCTGCCCATAGTACGCACACACAGATATTTCAAAAATTGTGGCAAAATAATGCCTATTCTAAAATGTGCCATTTTAGCCATTTTTGTATACAGTTCACTAGCAGGAAGCACAGTCACAATGTTCGTTACCACCTGTTTTACCATTGTTCATTTCAAGAACCTTCTCGGTATCACTGATGTTTATTGCTGATGATGAAATTAATATGGACCAAATCCAAGGATGTCCTTTTTTCATGAGAATAAAATCACAGTCGCTACTGTGACTTTCAGAATTATATTTGCTCGGATCTCACTAACTACTGGATTTTGCTGCACAATTTTTTCCCTGTTGCTAAGCTCCCCTGCAGTTCCACAGCCCATTTCTTCTAACCACAGTTCTGCCACAGTGACTCGGCACCCATTGTTTTGTTTCCTCTGCAAGGAGCCCCCTTTGTCTGAGCACCTGATCCTTGAAGTTTTTCCTGCCCACCTTGTACAAAGTGACAATGGCCAATACCATTTGTCTATTTTACTTTCCCTTCTCTACTTATCTTGGAGCCCTTAACTGGCTTTGACCTAGTAGATGGATGTGTTCCCAGCTTGGTTTCTCTTGTTTAGAACATAGAACACAGGAGAGGAGGCCTTTCCTGCTACATCCCTCTGTCTGAGACCATGAGGCCTTTCCTGCTAGATCCCTCTGTCTGAGACAGGCAATGTATAACACGTAGTGGAGGTTTGATCAACATTTATAGAAAGACTGATGATCTTAAATGATGGATTTTTAAAAATGTATAAATGAGATAAATATGTAGGTATCATAGTAGAATTTAAAGTGATATTGAAGATGAAGTATCATGACCTTTCTAGGAAACAGTGATTTTCATACATTTTAGAAAAAACTTAGTGTAAATTGGTAGCAACTAAGCCTGGAAGAGGGAAATTAAGGGTGATACACTAGAAATAGTACACTCCACTGTGGAAGTGTACATTTTCATTCAAAATACAGAGGAAAAACTGAAAACAAGCAAACACAGTGTAAAAAATTTAAGCATTTGCTTTAAATACTTGGTCACATAACGAAGTTGGGTTCTAAAAGTGAATAACTCTATAAGAAAGAGTAATGTAAAAGATTTTATAGAAAAAATAACCTAAAGGGCCATGCAGATAGCTCAGCAGACTAAAGTGCCTGCTTAGGCGGAGTGCATCGGCCAGGCTCAAGGTTGGATCCCCATGTGCAATGTCAGCCCCGCTCTCATGGTGCGCTGAGACAGCGAGTAGGACGGTGTGGTGGTGCATGACTGTAATTCCAGTGCTTGGGAGGCTGAAAACAGGAGAATCACTACAAGTCTGATCTATGTAGTAAGACCATGTAGACCCAGTACTAAATAAAGAAGAAAAGAAAAAGTAACCTAGAATTTCATATTAAATGATTAAATTGAACAGAGATTATAGTCAGGAAGAATAGCTATAAAGTAAAAATCTCATTAATTGTCTTCAGAATTAAAGTCAATATCCAAAATGTTTATTGAGTGCTTTCTATCTTCATAACAATAATAAAGGTGTATTAGGTTGTAAAAAAATAATCAAAATGTTTTTGATATCATAGGGGCTAAAGGAACTGACCGAAAAACATACAAAACAGAATGTAGCAAGTCGAGTACAAAGTACTGAAGGCTGAAAATTGCCTTCTTTTGTGGAGGGATTAGGTCTTTTCATTCCATTTAAGTGCAGATGTGGGGAAAGAGAAAACTGATTAGGAAGGTAGTAGAGGAGGAGCAGGAGAGAAACGGTGAAATGACGAAAATGTGAGGCTCTACAGGCAAGTGAACAGCACATTCTGTGGAAAGTTCTGCTTTGTTTTTCAAGAGTGATTATAAGAAGACAGGCAAAGGTATTTTCTCTTTTCTCACTCAGTTATTTGAAAAGAATATCCAATGATCTACTCTGCATATAAACACAGAACTCTTGGGCACGAGCAGAGAGGCAACCAAGATTCATTCTCTATGCTCTAAAATGTTCTGTTAGGGGTGGAATTTCAGGAAATGGGCCAGAAGACCTAGTTATGGAAAACTACCCCTGGGAAGCACGGACATAATGTGTTGGGGCTATTAGAACACCATGTGTCTGTGGGAGATGCCCCAAAGAGGGGCTGAATCCTCAGGAAGGCTATGACTTGGTTGTATTGGTAAAGGAGAACAAGGACATTTTGGAAAGATGGAGGGGGCGTGCATCAAAATCATGGGAGAATGATGCAGAGAGTGGAGTGGTGTGCTAAGGGCAACATTCTCACCCTGCTTAGGGAAATGTTTTTGGATTAAGCTTTAAAAGAAGATAGAGAATGTGCTATTAAGTGTTCCCGTTTATAAATAGGCTGTTGTTTGAAGGTGCCCAGATGTCATTGATACACAAGCCATTCCTCTCCCAGGTCCTTTCTAGTTAGAAACCATTATAAGACATGGCCTCTCCTCACTTTTACCTTCCTTGTATCGCTGGGTGATTAGACAGGCTAGGCAAAGAAATGTGAAATGAAGTAAATGAAAAGCTACAGAGAATTTTTCTTTGAAAACAACAGAACAGAAAGGAATATAAGTAGAGCCTTTATTTTTATACTTCCAACTTTGAACATCACCTTGTAATGATGTGATGCTTGAAGCTCTTGTAGCAATCCTGTCACCATGAGAAAAGCTTGAGGATAAAGCTAACTTGATAAAACACCACAGAAAATAACAACAAACCTGACTTATCATAGAACTCTTTCAACTTTCCTGTTGTAAGATATAAATCATTACTAACTTGATTTCCATTGTAAGAAGCCAAGAAGATCTTTACCAATAAGGTATGGTACTAGGAAGTTGCTGTGACTTTTAAGTCAAATGTGTATAATAATCATACTTTAAGAAAGTTGGCCTGGTAAACTTTGTAAAGAAAGTGGGAGAGGGCACAGAGTGTGGGAAGAATGAAATACTAAGAGATCAACTAAAGAAATAGTAGGATTGTCTAGAAAATAAGATGTGAATGCTCGAATCATGATCATTGTTAGAATCATCACAAATCTGTCCTCTCTGAATTAGACTGATACACTCGGCTCCTTAATCATACAGTGCCATTTACCACAGCAGGCAGCATATTTTTCCCCCATCAATGGGTACTGACCTTGACTGTGTGACCCATCCTCATGGATTTAATGTGAGTGGATATGTATCAGATACAAACTGAGTTCTTACATGGTATCATGGATTTCTACTCACTCTCTTGCCGCTCTGCTTTTGCTGACAGAAGATATCCCCTGAGAAGCTACTGTCCCTTCAGATTGGCTCCTAAATAAATAGATATGACTAGAAAGGAAGCCATTCTTTAGTGAAAAGTCCAGTAAGGCCTTCAGCTAAAGCAGCTGTCTAGGAGATCCTATCCTGGGTACCTGATCCACAGAAACACAGAAAATAAATCTTCCTTGCTGTATGCTCTGAAGTGATGTGGTTTTGTCATGCAGTTGTAGCATATGGATATAGGAGAGGATGGTATTTGGATTTAGGGGAAAAGTTATCTTAAGCTATGCTGTGAGAATGAAAACAGAGGGAATGGCAGGGTCTGGAAAACAAAACCGGACAGCAAATTACATTAAGAAAAGAATCCTAAATTTGTCAAGAATGTAGAGTTCTGCCCTTAGGTTTGACTTGATCCGAAGGCAGAATCCCAAAGGAAGTTGTTTACATTTAAATATTAAAAGTTTTGGACTTATCAAATATTCTGATACTTGTTATATTGTATTTTTTTTCTAGGTCAACTCAACTCTATCCAATTTAATTCAGTGACTATTTTGTGAGCCCCTGCCATATGGCGGGCCTTGTAAAAAGTGAAAACGACTGACTTGCACAATAACTATGCTCCAGACACTGCCCAAAAGCCTGAAAATGCCCATACTCTAGCATCTGATCTTTTTTAGTTTAGGGGAAGAGAGCAGTCACAGCACAATGTGGTCAGTGCTGTTCCATCACACACCAGGGAAGATTTA